TATTTGATACAATTCTCACAGATGGCGCTGTGTTAACGTTTCACATAAGTTCTCCTACCGTTTCTCTTGAATAGTTTACTACTATGTAATATAACAAAAACCTTAGCCACAGCAACGCTTGGCCGAGTGAACAACAAATGGTAATGCGAAGTTAAATATATAAATTTATCTTCGCATTACCATTTGTAGTAGGCAAAAGACTCTTCTACTTTTGTGCTTACATATCGAATCGTATCGATTTGTTGAGGATGATAATTCTTCGTTCAAAACAAACGAATTTTGCATATATCCAAGAGAATACTAAAGTCACCTCGTAAAAATAATACACCTAAGTTTAAGTTTGACGATTCAGAAGTGGGTGTGTCAAGTGAAACTTGGTGCTGCGTCTTATTATGTCTATACTGTAGGACATTCGTTTTATTGGGGTTTCCGAATCGACTTAATTGAGAGCAGTTTGTTCCCATGCTTAATGAGGTTTTGATAACTTACCCCGCAAATGGGGCCTTCACTAATTTATGGTACGTACGATGTATGGTTAATTAAGCTGGTATATATATATAAAAGTTTTTATAACATTATTTGAACTGAGGAAAAAGGGGTAAATGCAACAATGGACATTGCTAGAAGGGAATTGGCCTTACATGTTTCACCGTTCTCTCATGTTTGTATATATATTTTATTTGACTCTCTCTCTTCTGTTCTCTTTGAGTCTAATTGGTTAATTAATATATTTCTAGATCGATTATCTAATCATATTCGGGATTTTTTATTTATGAAAATCGTCACGCTCTGGTATCACCAATAAAGCCTGTATCTCCAGCAGAAACTTTACTGAGCATACTGCTCGTTTGCCTCCTGTTACTTAAAAAATGACCATGTAGCGTTAAAGCATACAAAAATTAATTATGCTATACAATCAAACATTTATAAATTATTTGTATTTTTTTAAATATGTGCTGTTAGTAATTAACTTTAGTTCTAAGAACTCTATCTTTATTACGATGTAGAGCAAAAAGCAGAAGATTTACTGATGACAGTGGAGCCCTAATAAAGTCACTCCGACCGCTAAGGATCAACCACTTCTCGACCCTAGCCAATAGGACTAGACTAGACTGGTCGAGGATCCTCACTTTAGGCTCAGTGGAAAACCAGCGTGGGTGACGCTTTTCCACTGAGCCTATGACTGTAAAATGGGCACATCTTTATCCAATCTTATTTAGTATTGGCCATACAATGGGCAGAGGCGATGAGAACTTGGAGAAAGTGATCGTGGTTGGTAACACAGAAGGCTAAAGATCCCGTGGCCGTTCACCATCCAGATGGACCGATCAAGTGAAAGACTCCTCGTCCTCAAAACTCTCACTGTCATAAGAGGCGCTGGACAGAAACCGGTGGAAACAGATAGTCCGCTCCAGATACTTCCTTGCTGACCACGACGCTCAGACATGAGCTGCCAATTAAAGAGATTTAGTATTGAGGTTTTCTTAATTTTAATAATGCTCTCAGATACAAATAGGCCAAACTATACCTCAGTTTTTTTAAATATAAATAATACCTTTTCTACTCCCCTGCCATTGTGTCCAGGGACTTTTTCTATCTCTAAACTTCACAACACACGTCTCGCAAAATACGCCCAGGCTACATCGGTAATATTTTTGTTTACAATATACCTCAGTTTAAGTCGGAAACATTTCCCTCGTTAATTTTTGAAAACATAACATCTCGGAAATTAATTTGTTATCTAATTTGAACAATCATTTCACACAATTGTATTTGAAGAGAAATTGACATAATTCATAATATTTTAAAGGTTCTATAGAGGTGGATGGTGGTTCTATAGAGTAATAGTGCGTGGCGAAAGTGTAAAACATTCGGTCGTGGAACGATGGACATCGAGGTGATGCAGATTAAATTTCGTATCCTTGATACTCGAAGAGACGGACTTCTCTCGCGACAAGTAACTTAAGATGTTTGTGTTTAAATTGGTACGTAGAGAGAATATTTGTATAGCTAAAAAATAATTAATAAGTTGAGGGAACATAGGATATATAGTATTGCTTAGGCTGTATGTGGAAAAGTATTAAAGACCTCGAAAGCATGTCCTGCTGTCTAACTGCTCACGAACTCTCCTCCGCCAACAGTCTCCAAATTTTTAGTTCAAATTCTAGAATCAGCTCTGGATATATTTCCGACTGGTTTAGAAAGACTGAGACTGACGAATGTAGGATGTTTTAAATAAAAATAAAATAAATCAGTGGAGCTGTTTCATGATCATTTTTAAATATAATACGCAAGTAGATGATCAGTCTGCAGTGCTTGACACACGCCGTCGACTTTTTGGGTCTAAGACATGTCAGTTTCCTCACGATGTTTTCCTTCACCATTCGAGCAAATGTTAAATGCGCACATAGAAAGAAAGTCCATTGGTGCACAGCTGGGGATCGAACCTACGACGTAGAGTAGCACGTTTAAGTCACTAGGCCAACACTGCTCGAGTTTGTAGAATATATATCATATATATATATTATAATTGGTTAGCTTGCTCTAAATAAATTGTATTGAAACATTTCAAGTTGATTTAATACTATGATAATAATTATAAGTGTATTATTAAATCTTACATAATTACAGATGACAACGACATTTCCATAAATGGTAACCATGGTAACTATAACTATATATCTTTAGTGCATCTTTCGTAACTTGGCGACATAAGTTGAATAAAGATGAAAGATGTACGTGACTGCAAATTATTGAGGGTTTTAACTTAAATTACGTCCTTTACTTTTGTGTAGGTGCTTTCCGTCTCTTTCGCTCATATTATGAGTTAATATGACTTTCCTTTTTCATGTACATAACAAAATATGTTGAAATTAATGTTAGGTATTATTAGGCTTTCTTAATTTAAAAAATACGTGACAGATTTTTTCTAGGATTAACCACTACTTGCCTTACCACACGATTTAGACTTGGCGTAGATTTATGGGACATCCTGTATATAGCGGTGTACCTAATCAAACGTATTTTAGAAATTCAATTTATACACTATACACAATGAATACACTTTCACCTCATACATATAATAAATATAAGTAAATACCATTTTAAACCGACACCGAGCGTAAAATTGTAACAAACTATCGTTTCTGAATTTATCACGTAACCGAAAGTTGTGCTAAAGTGAACCGTTGCACAAACAAACCTGTCAAAAACAGAAGTATGGCATAGCGTGAAAGCCCGTATCGATTTTATAACATATAAATAAGAATATAAAGAAAAGTTCAAAGTTGAAACTGAATAAAGTATTTAACATTACATTTGACACTTTAGTATAATAGTTTCCGAAGGCCAAGTTCAAGCTGATATTAAAAACATCCTAAAATCAGACACACCTTTAGTGTTGTGCTATTACAAAAATAAAAAAAACAGTGGCGCTACAAGATTTTCAAGCCTGGGCCTCAGACTTCTGTATCTGTTTCATGATCATTTGTCAATCTAATAGGCAAGTAGGTGATCAGACTCCTGTGCCCGACGCACGCTGTCGACTTTTTGGGTCTAAGGCAAGCCGGTTTCCTCACAATGTTTTCTTCCTTCACCGTTCCAGCGAATATTAAATGTGGACATAAAAGGAAAGTCCATTGTGCACAGCCGGAATCGAGCCCACGACCTCAAGGAGAGTCGCACGCTGGAGCCACTAGGCCCTCACTTCTCTGTTGTGTTACTAACAGAATCCAAGTTTGTTATACAAATATAGTGAAGTAGCCATTATCTTACTTGTATAGCCTAGGTCAAACAATTGGTTTAACAACATTCACTTCCGTAGTTTCTGCGATTAGCCAACCACTCTCTTTAGTCTTAGAATAATATATTATGTATCGTTTACCCAAAGATAACAATCAAATATACAATTTAATAAACGGCTCAAATATCTTAAAATATATCATCTTATAATAATATATAATCTTAATATATAAAGGAATAGTCTTTCCTTCAACTTCAATTTTCTTCCCTTTGGAGTAGAGACTCTTGAGCCGTGGTGTTCAGTGCACAGGCGATAATTAAAGATTTAAGTTGGCATCTGGTAGATAGTACCGGTGACCCCAGAGCTGATGCTTTCCTGGCTTCAACGAATAAGTATCGCCATACAGCGAGGAAATGCTGCCAGCGTTAAAGTTACCAAACTTTTTAAATTTGATTTAATTTTTAATTATTTTTATTATTACTATGTAGGTTAAGAAATTATATATAATATTGTGTTCTCTAAAACCTTATATGTAATTAAACTCAGTGAAAACAGTATTAAAAAAAACTTTCATTTTATATGACTACAAAAACGCTAAAAGTGACTTAATAATTATTACATTCACTTTTTATTAATCCTATTTATTTATTCACAAAATACATACACTATTACAGTGCTAAGCCATACGGTAATGTTGAAAAAAAAAAAATATATTAAAATATATAAGATACAGAAAATCGCTACTACATACATAGATCGCGAACATATTATAATGATGTCGATAGTGTCGGAGAGAGCATTCAATAAGCGCAACGTCGTTGGGATCTGGGAACTGGGATCTGTGCAACATACTGGTTCTGGCCCTTGGTATCGCAGCCGCTCTTAGCCTTCCTCGTCCCAAAAACCCCCCTTAGGTACAAAGAAACCGAGTTCTTGGAGAACACTTGGGTTGCTCACCACCCCCCGGAAGAATTTAAATCTAGCCAATTTCTGTCTGGTTAAAACAATAAAATTGTAATTATTAAATACAGCAAAATTCAATTCATTAATCATATAGGTACCACATTGTACACTTATGATCGTCAAAAAAAGAAATGCATATGAAATGCTTCTAACTTTACATTTAGTGCCAGTTCTCAAATCAAGGGCGTAGAACGGAAGAGAAGAACTGGCAATAAACTCTCCGCCACTCTTTTTAATCGCCATGTTTTTTTTAAAGAAAGCAGTACAAATTATAAAAATAATGATTAACTGATTACTAAACCATTGGTGCGAGGGCATTGTCGATATATCTGTAAAAGGCCCTGATCATTCTTCTCATCTGTCGTCTCAAGAGGATTTTTATTCTTCTTAACGCTCTGCACTTTTTAGTTTCTAAAACCTCGGGTTTGGTAGATTTACGTTTGTATACTTGGATCTCTATGGATAAAACCAGTGCTGAAAAGAAACGTTTATTATATTAAGTAATATTTGGTATTACTAACTATATTATGGTTCATAGGAATGTAAAAATATTGGTCAGTTAATCAATCAATCAAAATCATTTATTAATATTGGTAACACAATGTACACTTATGAACGTCAAATTTTGCTTCTAATTTTAAATTTACTGTCAGTTTTCAAAAAAAGTTATATGAAATGGTACTAGCATTAATGGTACAAAGGTATTTTAATTATTATTATTACTGTGTAGATTAAGAATATTATAAATACTCCAACTCCAATTTTTATCTCCATAAAAACCTTTCTCAGAGTTCTAAAAATAAATAAAAATAACTCGAATTGATGAAGCCGTCTTCGCGTTTATCGTATAGCTACATATTTTTCGATAAAGTTTCATTTATATAAAGGATTATTTGTACGTGTCTTTGAAAGTTATTATAAAAATATGTGCTAAAATATATATAGAATTAATGAACTTTTCTTAAGTAGTCCTAGTATTTCGTTTACGTTTATTATTAATATTGACTGTTAATTTTGGTTTTAAACCAGTGTTTCCCAACGTGGGGTCCAAGCCCCATAGGGGAATTCTATTATCAAGATGGGCTATTCAACAAGTTATAAAAATTATTTGGAATTTGAATTTCACTTTTCATTATTTGTTTTGAAAATTTACTTACTGTTATTCGTTAACAATTTGCTAGTAATTTCTTCCTAAAACCTATCATTTAAATGGTTTAAGTAAATCATTCATTGAATGGGGTGGTATAAGAATTTTAGATAGGTAAGGTGGGGCATGGCCAAAAAAAGGTTGGGTTTAAACTTATATTTAAGAGTGTAAAACTTAATTTATGCTTCTTTAAATATTTTTGAAGTGAAACTTCTTTATCGAGGTTGGAAAAAAATGTAGTGTAACATTTTTTCGTTACGCGTCACATTTTTCGGTTACGCGCCATGTTGCTTTTTGGAGTCAAACTTCTTTATCGGCGTTGTAATGAAACTTCTTTATCGACGTATGGGAGAAATTTTGTAGCAAATCGTCACGTTTTTCAATGATAGTAATAATTCTATTACAATTAATGAAATTTTATAATAATCTTCGTAGTAATAAGGTAAAATGAAATATTTGTATTCATGACTTTGATAATAAAAGCCTTTTGTTAAACTTTATCTAATTTAACGAATTTCTGTAAAGTTGCATATAGTAGATAATTTTTCGAAAAATAAGATCATAAAGAAGTTTCACTTCTTACGTGTGTACACCTAGTACACGCACAATTTATTTATTTTTTATAGAAAAGGGGGCAAACAGGCAGGAGGCTCACCTGATGTTAAGTGATACCGCCGCCCATCGACACTCGCACTGCCAGAACACTCGCAAGCGCGCTGCCGGCGTTTTAAGAAAAAAAAAAATGATGATTGATATGATAAAGAAATACTAAATTTACGATGTTTTTAGAGAACTTAAAAATCTAAAACACGTTAAAAACTTGTAAAGAAAAAGATTGCCGTACTAATTTGTTAAATTACGATTATAAATCCAAATACAGCGATGAGTTATGAACATTCAAGATTGTTTATTAATTTCATTAGTTCTGGTCGGCCGCGAAAATTGTCGATCCAATATCCGGTGTTACGGATGCTTCATTTCTACTTAATGAGGGATCATTATTCTGGAATGGAAGTGGAATGCTCTAAGAATATTATGATCTGCCGTCAAAATATTTGCAAAATTTAGGACCTATTATTGAACTAACAACTTCTTTAGAAGCAGCTTTGGCCTAGTGACTTCAGTGTAACTCTCATCCCTGTCGTAGGTTCGATCCCCGATTATGCAACAATAAACTTTTATCTACATGTACATCTAACACCCTCCGTCAAAGAAAATCATCGTAAGGAAACCGGCATGTGAAATCCAAAAATTGATGACGTGTCAGACAGAAGGCTAATCACCTAATTGTCTTTGAAATAAAAATTATCAAAGAAACGGATTCAATCTGGGTCAAGACTTTAATATTAATGTTACTTCTTTCGCTTTGTTTCACGCACAAAGTATTGAGAGGTAATATTATATTATTCAAACAAAAATAATATAAATTCGCATTTCAGAAGCGATTGATTGGTTTGACTTTTTGTATGAAATTTAAAGTCTTTATTTAGATATTAGGAAGGAAAATTACACAGGCGAGCAACTCAAAAGCGATCCACTTGAACAATCATAGTTGGATCTTGCATATGTATGAAATTAAATTTTGGGAATTCTAGTACGAAATCGAACAAAGGCTACAACTTTAATTATCTGTTACGTGGTTATGGGACTGTACGAGCCTCATATGTCAAACCGTATTGGATTTTGTCATACGGGAGATAATATACTCTTATTCGACTCTGAATTTTTTAGTGATTTTTATTGTCTTTGAAAGACATTTTTAACTAATATATAAAATTCTCGTGTCACGGTGTTTGTAATTAAACTCCTCGGAAATGGCTCGACCGATTTTCGTGAAATTTTGTGAGCATATTGATTAGGTCTGCGAATCGGACAACATCCATTTTTCATCCCCCTAAATGTTAAGGGTGGTACACCAAAATTTTTGTTTTTATTTTTTTATGATACAGCAACAAGTTACAACCCTTAATATTCACCCCTCTACGATCAAGCCCTATTTTTTACTATAGTAGATAAGTTCTTTTTATTGAACTAAAAAATTTTTCCTAGAAATAATATACATGGCAAAACGACTTTTGCCGGGTCAGCTAGTAAGATTTACAAAATACTACCTATTTTAGATGCATTAATTCATAGCACTAGTGATATTATACACTCTTTTCTGGTCCTAATATTGTGTGGAAGTATTAGATTTTATTCTGCTCCATAAAAATAAACTGTAGAGTAGGCTTACCAGCAGATAAATATCCAACACCGAGGAGACAAAAGGCACCTCGCAGTATTCTGAGTGAAACTGGTTCTAAGCCGATTGTAGATTCACTTTGTGTCTGAAATTACCAAGTTAGATATTTATAACTAGTTTCTGTGGGTTTGCTCTTTAATCTAGGTATATTTCTTTATATTATATATATCTGTAACTTAATAATTATATTTCTTAGAGTGTTCATTATCTGTGACGTGTCAAAACTGACGTTTTATTTAATTGTAATATTGTGAGTTTGTTAGTCTGTGGAACAAGACGTTGGCTTGTCATTTGAATTTTTAGAATATTCTTCTAAATAGAATGAAAGCCAATTTTTGTTAGAACATTTTCACATTTTAGGAATTAGATAAAATAATTGTTTTGAGCTTTTATGAACTAACACACTCTAAATGTTGTTTTTATAATTATTTTAGGTACTCGTATTTGATTAAATTCATTAATTCCGTTCATATATGTTTAGTTTTTGGGTAATTACCTAGGTAACACTGAAAATGTTTAGAAAATGAAAAACGGCTTAATGTAGATAGTTGTCAATACTTTTATTGTTTTTCGAAGTAACCTCCGTTCCTCTCTACACATCGTCGCATTCGATGGAACCACTGAGAAAAGCAGTGGGCCCATTCTTCCTTAGGGGTCTCTCCTATAGCCATTTCGTAAGCTTTCACCACATCTTCAGGCACGTAAAGCGAATACTTCGAATTTTATGTTTAGGTTTGGGTTCGTACCAATATATCCAGCTTTCATCACCTGTGACGATGTCAAATACAGCATTTGAGTCACCGCCGTTGAACTTATCTAACATTTGGCGACACCAGTCCATGGGAAGGTGTTTCTGGTCGTCGGTTAAAGTATGGGGAAACCATCTGGTACAAAGCTTCCTGACGCCTAAATGTTCGTGTAAAATTTGAACTTGACTCATACCAATGCCTAGGCTTGCCCGTATCTGCTGATAGGTCACTCTCTTATCTTCCTCTATCATGCGTCGCACTGCACTGATGTTATCTTCAGTAGTCGCTGTTAAAGGACGTCCCTCACGCTCATCATCATTGAGATTGCTACATCCACGCTTAAACTCGTTAAACCAATTGTAAATAGTGGCACGAGATGGGGCTTAATTAAGAAATGCTAATCGCAGCCCATCATAGCTTTGTTGTTGAGTAAGCCCACAACGAAAGTCATCATAAATCATTGACCGAAAATTTTCTCGCGTTAGGTTCATTTTCACGTGTCACAAGAGTTTTAGATTTGCCGCCAATTCACAAAAACAAGTGACAAATGAATGCAATGTATACTACATTAGGTTACCAAAGAGTTCTAAAATTCAAATAAAAAAAAATTTTCATAGCAAAGTTGCTGCCAATTCTAAACATTTTCAGTGTTTCACGTATTAGTTTTAAGACTTTTTGTTTAAGAACTAATGTTAGAATAAATTTATAATTATGACAACAACACTTTGGAGTTTCAATATATGCATTAGATAATTAATGAATTTTTAACAGTTGCTTACATTTCAAAGCTTTTGATTCCGATAATATACTTTTTAAAATAATACCTTTATTCTAATGGTATAAAAAATATGTGTTCATTCATTATAACGATGCGTTACATATAAGATTTGGGAACCCTTTTAAGTAAACAATAACTGTGTTAGGGATCCCAGCTGCTCAATAACAAGTCTCAGTAAGTGGCAGCTAGGTGAGGGGTACCGGGTTCGATTCCCGGTTCGAGGGCAAGTTTTAATTTAATTTAAATTTGTTCTCGGCCTTTAGGAGGGTTGTGGGGTACCGGGCGAGTGCTTAAACCGTACATGGAGGACACGGTCGAATTTCTAAAGACACACGAATTATAAAAAATCCTATACTTGACGCTGGCTAATGCACAAATCGTGCCAGAGCCATACAAAAAAAAAAAACAAGTCTCAGTTAACTTCATAACAAAGTTAATCATTGCTTTTTTGAATACAATTATATTACATACAATTTTGAAATTTTTTAAAACCGTTTCCACCAATTTTTCCAAATTTTTTCCAATAAAAAGCATTACGCAAAGCGTAACACGCGTGAGTGCATGAGTAAGTGTGTAGGTGCATGTGAGTGAATGAGTGAGTGTAATGTCTCAGTATCATGTCCAAGTCTGCGTAAGGTATATTCAGAAGCCCGTCCTTTAACCGTTTTTTTAATTGTAGACGGCGAACGGGTAGATATTGAACAGCCTTTTTATTTTATTGTAGAATTAGTTTGCCTGTATATTGCGCTTTCGAAGTCAATGCCTGATTTCTAGCACCAGCTCCTCATCCACTTGCCAAGTGGCAAAGGTCTCCCCCACTGTTCCATTCACTGGCGCTTTAAATTCCCTATTGTTTCAACACCATAAAATTCGTCTGTTGTATTTCTATACCCAAATTGATCACTATACTCAGCGGCAACCCCGTGTTATAATATTAGTTCATGATACACTTGAAAAACTATGTCAGTAAAACTTTATAACTTAATTAATTTAGAACATTTCTATCATTGCTCCTTGAAATTTTTTATTTAATTAAACACAAAATTCTTTTACTGTAAAAGTGTACTCCAAAAGAATGTTGTTTAATTTCAAACGTTGACAAGAGACTTCGTTATACAAACAACTAAAAATTTGAAAATATTCATGCACTTATAAAATTTTGTTTCTACTAAATTCATTTGTATTTTTGTCGTTTAAAAAAATATATTTTACATTCTTAATAAGGCTTCAAGATTGTCTCATACATATAGTTTACCCTATTGAAATGTGTAGGGTAAATAGTACGTTTAGAGCTGTGTAGGCCTAGAGGGATCAAGGTGCGACTCGTAGGTTCAATCCCCGGCCGTGCACAAATGAACTTTCTATGTGCGTACGGTAAAGGCAAACATTGGGAGAAAATCAGCACGTCTCAAGCCAAAAAATTCGACGACGTGTCAGACAGAAGGCTGACCAGTCTATGAAATAAAAAAACTGTGCGCCCACGGGACGCCCGACCGAAGTGATAACTTAAACTAATCTAAGTTGAACTATTTAATTCTGTATAGCACTGCGGGTTAGAGTGAGAGAGGAGGAGCCTGCCTACCGCTGCCGTATACGTGAGAGAAAGGGAAGCTGGACAGATTGGCGCCGTAACGCGTTACGTAACGAAGCGGTTTACCCTTCCATAAGAAGTTATCACTTCAAAATTATTAAAGAAACAAGACCTAAGCCTCAGAAGATATTAATGACAATGACTTGAAAATAATATATGTGGGTTACAACGAGGTCAGAGTACGCCGAGAATTGCGATGTACTTAATAAAATTGTGACATGGGAAGGCAGCAATTCGTCAGTACTACAGTGCCTTAGTCTCAGTGTGCCTTTTGGCCGTCAGGATGCGACATAGTCCGCCGTTACTATATCGGTCCACGGCTAGCATGTATGACGTTAGTCAAATAATTACATCGGTTAGAGGATCTTTTTTTATTGTCCGTTAAGATAACGGACAAAAGTTTTAGTATTTGTTAGTACCTATATAGTCCATTGAAATGTTACATTTGCTGAACATATTTTGTTAGAGGACGCAATTTTATTTATGGAACATGTAGAGGAGGTCAATACAAACTTAAACCGAAGTTTGTGGGGTTGGCGCCCTTGTCCCCCGCCATCTTGGAAAAAGGGGTGAAAACACGTTTTTGGCTATATTATAATAATAATTAGTTTTTTTTTATTTTGTAAATAATCTTTATAGTTTTTCCTAATTTATTATATATGTATTTATTTCGTGTATGAATTTTAATTAGATTTGCATGCAATTCTTAGGGTCGCTGTTAAGGCAAGATTGTGTTTTTTGTAAATAAATAAAGTAAGAAAGGGAACTGTTTTATTGTATTACGCCTGTTACAAAAAAAAGGGTTCAAAAATGTGGTTAGTTGACCTACCGACAAACATTCTTTCGTCATTAAATATCTGAAGGAAAAAGCATAGAAATATATCTAATATATAAAATTCTCGTGTCGCGGAAACGGCTTGACCGATTCTCCTGAAATTTTGTGTGCATATTGGGTATCTCTGAGAATCGGACAACATCTCTTTCATCCCCCTAAATGTTAAGGGTAATCCACCTCTAAAATTTTTTTTTTTAATTTTTAGTTTTTTTTTATGATACGGCATTCAAAAATAACATACAAACTTAATATTTTCTCCCCTCTACGATCAACCCCAATTTTTTATTATAAATGATATACATGGCAAAACGACGTTTGCCGGATCAGCTAGTAATATATTATATATTAACTGCAGTGTAAATGAATAGTTATAAAATAAATCGTGATTTAAAAATTTGTTTAATAAAATATATTAAACAAATTTTATTATGATTAATTAATTTATAATTATGATATTAATTAATTCAACCTGTGACGTAGCACCACTCTCTCCTGATTCAATACTTTCTTTATTCTCACTCTCTGTTACTTTCTCGGAGCGTCTAGAAGCTTCTGGAAGATTCTTGTACTCATCAGTCGTCATTTTAGAGAGAATACCTGCTTCAAAGAGCGTCATTACCCTGAAAAATATTATTGCCATTGAGTTACTATAAAAATCTCAAATAAAAAAATATAAATGATCTATATTCCGAAATTAGATTAATTTCTGGAAATCTAGATCCAGGTGATAGTCAAGATTTAAATCAGGTATATTCCATCTTACAAACAGTACAAGTTTCATCAATATCAGTTCAGTCGTTTTTGAGACATGAGTATACGCATTTCGGGAAATTTGTAATATAGCTATCTAGGTAAAAATTAATTAAGTCCTTCAAGACTAGTACCAAAAACCTCTGGCATTGAGAGTGTGCATGGGCAGGCAGTACCACTGAACATCAGATGAGCCTCCTCCACGAGCAGGAGCTCGTTTGCCCCCTGTTCTATATAATTTGCTAACAATAATCTTAAATAATAAATATGAAATAAAATTTGTCCCTTTATTTATTAATTATAATTATAATTATTTTTTAAATATTCTAGCAAGCAGTACCCAATACTTAATTGTTTTGAAAATCGGCCCAGTACTTTTTGAATTTATTCGTTACAAATTTTTTCCTCTTTATATTATATATGTATGTGGTATCAGAATAAAAAAGCTTATCCTTACACATTGTTGAATGTTTCCAAATAGGGACAGCCGATTTGTAGAGCGATTGCCGAGTATCGTGTATAAAGTTTTTCACTCAAGTGGAAATTCTGGGAGCCTGAAGCAAAGTATACGCTTAGACTATTATATACACAGTTATTGTATTTTCTATAAAAAAATAAATATTTATTGAATCGTAGTGTAATCTATAATGGTCATCATATGGGTATGGGTTGCAAATAACACCCTTTATTTGCAACTTTATTAGTACATTTTTACCTTAATTTATAACATTTACCATGGAGAGTGTTCAGAGGAGTTATTCCGATTCCCTCAGCTGAGTTTTATAATCGGACGTCAAGACACGAAATTCCGTATTACCTCGACATCCTTCGGTCGAGGATTGAGCGTTATTTAAAGCAGTTTTTGTCACGCACCATCACTATGCGGAGCCAGTATTTTCGAACCAATTTGACTTAGGGTCCTTCTATAAATGAGCGTACCAAGCTGAAAATGCTAGCAACGCAGAGCCCTCTGACATTGAGAGTGTCTATGGGTATCACATGCATGCTTTTCTCCAGTGGCATCTCGAAAAAAACCCAACATACGAAACCAAGCTAGTGCACTTTAAGATGTTGTCATTGAAGAATCGCAGAAAATTAATTGATGTATCGTTTGCATTTAAGATACTTAACAATCAGGTTGATTGTCCTAACCTTTTAACAAAATTATAATTTCGTGTACCCTGTAGATGTAGATATCCCAGGCATCCCATCATTCCATTTGCCCCTCCTTTCCGAAGAACGCCTTTTGGCCAAAACTCACCGATGTCCAGATTGAGCATTCTGTTAAACGAGCTGGGTCTAGATATCTCATATCATAGTTGCTCCTCTCACTCTAAGATCGATTTTCCTTTAGTTTTTATATAAATTATATTATTGTTTTGCTTAATTTCTTTTTATTATATTGTTACGAAGACGGGTTGACTGCAATGTTTCTAGATTTTTCCACTAGTTAGAGAACTTTTCAGCAGGCTGAAATGTGATTTCTGAGCGTTTCAAGAGAGGGTCAATCATATATTAAAAAATAATAATTTACAGAATGTTACCCTAGTTTTCAGGAGGTTGAAACATTTTTTTTCAGGCAGTTTCAGAACAAGTGTAGTCGAGTGGTACACTTTTTAGACAACCCGTTTTCAAGCCTGGTTATATCCCTTTGATGAAGGAATATTCTAGACCGATTTTTCTAGGTGTGGGACAAGGACGGAACGATACGCGAGAGAGAGGGAATATCGGAACCTTCTCGAAGCTAGATCGAGCACTCTAGAACGTCGTGCGACAAGGACGGAGCAATGTGCGAAAGAGATAGAAAGTACGTACGTTCTAGAATTGTGCGATCGCTACTCAGTAGCGCTCCTGCCTAGATAGTTCTCGAACATCGTTCAAGATTATTCCCAGGGATATATAAGCGAGCCGAAACGCAAACGATTAGTTCAGTTTAGTATGCGATTTCAAGAAATAAACTCTTGAAGTCTCGTAACCATATGCTTTTTATGTTTGCCTATAAGTGCTTGCCTCATTAAAAATTGTATTTTATTTTTCTTGTATCAATATATCAGTGTGCCGAGCGTTGGTAAGCTTTTGTCAATCTAAAAATAAATAAATCACTTAACATCAGATGAGCCCCCTTTACATCTGATTATATCCCAGGTCTTTTTGTTTTCTAACTAATACTAACATAGTTTCTAACAAAATATGAATTAATGATCTGAAATAAATATTATAATACGTTGATAACAGTTTTAAAGGTTTCTACTTCCGCTTAATCAAAATTGGCAAGTGACCTGTGCTTATAATAATTATTTTGAAGACCGTTTTCCTCGTACGTATCTACGAAAATACATATTTTTCGCTTGATAACTTGTTATCCATTCCACCGACGAAAATTTATTTATTTATTAATATTAAAATGCAAAATCATTCTTATCGAATCATCCCAGATTCAGAAGAGATCATACATATTTTGTCAATACCCTTTAGTGGTTAGTACTGTTCTTCTTTGTAGTCTTCCTTAATGAAGGTGGTGTCTGTCTTGAAAAGCCCTAACCGTAACGTCGACTTGCTGCCTCCACACAACTCTATCCTCAGCTTGTCTGAGTGCATTGGGAATGTTGAGACCCATAATTGTCTATCTTTGGTTACCAACGGCTAGGCGATCGATCCTTGATGAGAAGTCTCTCCTGCTATCACTCCTCCCTACCATTACCAGCTTGTCAAGACTATTGGGTTCTCTCCTAGGAATATGGTCCAAGTAGCTAATCACCCCTATTTTGTTAAGCGTAAGATAGTGAAGTGGTTGTTCGACTGCAAATGAGGTCAATTCCCGGCTGACGACAAAATTTTAAAAATCCGTAATTTCCATTTGTTTATGAAACATTCTTGTTAGAATTTATGTTCGACGATGGAAGTCCTGCGTCTGCTCTTGATACTGCGCCCATACCGTGCTACCGTGGTAAGAGAGTAATGAAAGAGAAAGTGCACTTGTCTTGCGCACACGCTTAATTATACGCAAAATAATTTATGTTGAATTGTGTCTACGTACCAAATCGTTCGGAATCATAGTACAATGTTTCGCGCCCTCCTAGTATAGCAACGCGGCGTCTGGATAACACCATACGAACACCTACTTCTATACTGCGCACGCGCTGAATGCGTTGTCGCTTCATCAGGCGAGCCAACGAGCCATATACGCCTGTTCCATTCTATGAAATTAGATTCATAAATAAATTTACCCATATAATATTTTAGATAGGTTCCTAGCTTAGACTAAATTATAATAAAATTAAAGTAAAACGACATTATACTTACTATCAACATAAATACATGTTATTCCTTATTTTATATGCTATATGGGGCAAACGAGCCTTAGGTACAGCCATAAAAGGCAGCTACCGCAGCCCGTAAACACCTAAGTTCAAGACCTTTAAGGGAGGTAGCATTCTCTTTATAAATTTGGAGGTCGTATCTCCCAGGGACGACCTCCACTGGCAACACCTCGCTATTTCTATAAACTACTGAGAGTGCTGGGGTCTGTGTTTGTTACTAATGTATTTCGAATACCTTATTTCTTTCACTAATGAAACCAGGGATAGCCTATCGTTTAAGTTTTAGAAACTCGAAGTGGATTTTAACAGTTTTTTAAAGAAAATCTAAGGAACATGTCTTATTATATAAGAAATGTTATTACACCATTACAGAGTATCTGGCTCATAGAACTTAATTTCTTTATATAAGTTATGTCCTACTACTATTATAAACGCGAAAGTTTTTAAGTATGTTATATAATACAAAAACTACTGAATGAATTTTAATGAAACTAAAAATACATAAACACAGAACAAATATGCTACAATTTATAAAGATATTGTGTGAATTGTTCAAAATATCAAGTAAGTAGGAAAAATCTATCATCTGCGAGGTATTCTGCCGTGCGCTGCCACACGGGCGTTGCGGTGTGGCAATATATTTTACCCCTCCCCGCCTCGTCTCGCAGGTCACAACTCCGGCGCGCTTGCGGTGCGACGCCGGCGGCGCAACGCGTCGTGTGTCATGGTATAGTAATAATTTCGACTTATCCGTAGAACAGAGTCCCATCTGCAGGATTGATAGTTTACAGTAGAGGTAAGAGAAGTTGTTGACTTGTGTAATTCTTAAACAGTGAGACTTGACATTTTGATTTTTTGGTATGTTGTGACAACACCCCAGCCTAGTTAAATGCTATGTAGTGTATATTTCTTATCCTCTTATTTCACGAGATAGTGAGTTCCATATAAACATAGGACGTTTTATGGCGGAAGAGCGAGGGTCCGAAATGAACATTGTACGTTGTTTTACGGAGACGTCTGAATTAAATGACGTTCTATATTAACATGGGTAATTTTTTGTTGGAATTACCCATTCCTTATGAGTCCTATGTAAATAAACATCTTACAATTTTTAAACATAATGTTCGCTATATGATGAATACCCTCCCATGTAACTAAATAAAAAATAAAATTATTATTAAAAATTTATTAGTTAGTTTAAAAAATCTCAAAATAGATATCAAAACTATTAGAAAGCATAATTTTTCACACATCACAGTTAGGTACGGTACGGGAACATTACAGGAGACGCGTATGGAGAAATTTAAACTTCGCATTTATAAAATCAACGATATGTTCAAACAAACATACTTAATAACAATACAATTGTACGTAAGTATACCTAAAACTATTTTGGTGGCGTAAAAGTTAAAACTTAAATGGCATTTCGTATCACAGCATGGTAACTAGGTAACTGTCTTAAATTAGCAGTCTCAAACTTATAAATGTACTTAAATATTTATCATTACAACAGGAAATACTTATATGGAGATATTCAGCCTCAATAATAATTATTAATCAGTCTTACATTGTGACCTAGACGTGGATCTTATACATATTTAATAGCAATGAAATTGCACGTAGGCAAACATTAAATAACTTATTTAGTACTTATTACGATTAACATTGTTTCTCTAAATCGGTAAAAACATAGTAAAAAAGGAAAAAAAAAATGTCTAAAATGTTTCTTATTCCGATAAATCATCATCAAATTTTTCAGAAACATCAACAGAGGTGTTATGTGGTAAAGAGTTAAAGTATGGATGATATTCGAAGGGAATAACTTCCGAACGGCACATATCCATTAAATCTTTATATTTAGCGGGAGGAACCATAATAGGTTCAGAATAAGCAGGTTGTAGTTCAGTTTGTATTGAGTTCCGGGTGTTACCGCGAATCACTAAAATATTGTAATCAGATTGAGTTAGGTCATATTTAAAAAACAATTTGTTTGGATCACTACCGTCTGCATGAACTTCTCGAATGTTACTCCAGTTAATTTTCTTGCCATTGATGTCTTTCATCCAAACTTTATTAATAACAAGACATTTAAAGTCAAATACGTCATTCTGGGTTACGTTGCGAACAACATAGGGTTCTCCTTCATTTTTAGCCCATCTTACTAATAAACGCCATTCATGCGGGGAATATATAGTTTTGGTTTGAGAAGCTCTCTCTATGACAGAATGGACACTGTCCCCTTCATTTTGGGTGTGTCCTTTCTGTAAGAAGCGGTGTGTTATGTATATGTTGAACTTTTTTGCTGCGTAAACGTACATTGAAAATACAAAGCGGTTACGATTTTGGCCAGCACAATTGTCTGACCAAAAGCGAAACTCTTTGACCCCTCGGTCAACATTAGTCTGAATAAAATCTAAGAGGCAACTGCTGACCTCATTTGCGCCACGTTTTGCCACAGATTCATCCCACATATAGCAAACGGCCTTCCTTTTACCCATGTCAAAAACTGTGAAGTTAAATGAAGATAACTTTCTCTTATAGTAAAATATGTTTATATTGCCATGAGGACATTGCAATACTTTTTCAAAATCAAACACAGCAGCAACCATGTTTCCATTTGACTCCTCAGCGTCTTTCTTATCTTGGCTTTTTAAATTCCTTGCGACCTTTTTATTAGCCTGGTGTTGTTGAAAAGTTTCTTTTTCTTGGTCTGTTGGATTTTTTTTCAATCGAAAAACGTGACATTCGTCGCACTGATCCTTTTTGGGAATATGAAAAGCTAGATTAAAGTTCAAATTGACAATGTCACGATATTGGCGTTCCTTTGTAGCCTTAGAGGTGTATTTCTCGCAGTCGAACCATTCAAGATACAATTTGAACATTTTGGCAATGCTTAAGTCTCCTTGTAGGTAGAGCTTTTGGCTATTCTTGCGTATATAATGCGATTCAACAGGGACAAATGCCCGAACATGGTCACAAACACTTTGTTTCATTGCGTCATCTATAACAATCTTATGATTATCGTGGCGACCCCGTCTGTCCTCTTCCAAAATAGCGCTTCCATCGTACTTCTTCCATGCAGTTTTTAAGATACGAGTTGAAACGGCAAGAGTATTAATAAACATAGTTTGGCATACTTCGGTTTTTTCGCAGTGAGACTCGCTAGAACCTGTGATCAGCGGCAGATAATACTTAAAAGTATGTTTTCTATTATTAGGAGTGTCTTGATTCAGGCATCTTTTCTTCTTCATTTTAACGGAATATTTGATGATAAAATTCCACTGCATAGCTCGATCTCCCAGTTGCCAAAATTTTGTGAAGCATTCCAACCGCTGTTGGTGAGATATTTTATCAGGACATTTGTAACGGCATTTACATGATGGTCCCATCGTTTTTTCGTCTACGGCTTTTCCTTTTTTCGTGACATATTTCTTACCTAATAGTACGGGAGGTAGCAACGTTTGAAAAGAAAGAATTATAGGTCAGCTGATTTTGTGATACGTCTTCCTTCTTGCACTTTCGGTTAGAGTCTGGGCAATCTGGCTGGCGGTAGCGGTTGCGTTCATTAGTGCGCATCCTATCTGTCCGGTAATAATCCTGGATTTTAAAAGCATTTTAAGAAGCGTAATTTTTAATTTTTCGTTTTGAAATAAGTCTACCTGACATACTTTTTTTATTGCCAGACATTTTTCACATTGCTAACTATGTGCCAGACGCGATTTTAAGTTTTTTTTTATAAAAATTTCAAACTATTTTAGAATGTCTGTAATTTTAATATTATGTTCTTTAAATATAAGAAAAGCTAAAAATGAATTTGCCAGACATTAATTCGGTTGTTAAGTCTTGAATTAAAATGAAAAAGTATTGCAGTATGATGAAGCATTGCATTTTAAGAAGCGCAATTTTTAATTTTTCCTTTTAAATAAGTCTACCTGACATACTTTTTTTATTGCCAGACATTTTTCACATTGCTAACTATGTGCCAGACGCGATTTTAAGTTTTTTTTTTATAAAAATTTCAAAGTATTTTAGAATGTGTGTAATTTTAATATTATGTTCTTTAAATATAAGAAAAACTAAAAATGAATTTGCCAGACATTAATTCGGTTGTTAAGTCTTGAATTAAAATGAAAAAGTATTGCAGTATGATGAAGCATTGCATTTTAAGAAGCGCAATTTTTAATTTTTCCTTTTTAAATAAGTCTACCTGACATACTTTTTTTATTGCCAGACATTTTTCACATTGCTAACTATGTGCCAGACGCGATTTTAAGTTTTTTTTTTATAAAAATTTCAAAGTATTTTAGAATGTCTGTAATTTTAATATTATGTTCTTTAAATATAAGAAAAACTAAAAATGAATTTGCCAGACATTAATTCGGTTGTTAAGTCTTGAATTAAAATGAAAAAGTATTGCAGTATGATGAAGCATTGCATTTTAAGAAGCGCAATTTTTAATTTTTCCTTTTTAAATAAGTCTACCTGACATACTTTTTTTATTGCCAGACATTTTTCACATTGCTAACTATGTGCCAGACGCGATTTTAAGTTTTTTTTAATAAAAATTTCAAAGTATTTTAGAATGTCTGTAATTTTAATATTATGTTATTTAAATATAAGAAAAACTAAAAATGAATTTGCCAGACATTAATTCGATTGTTAAGTCTTGAATTAAAATGAAAAAGTATTGCAGTATGATGAAGCATTGCATTTTAAGAAGCGTAATTTTTAATTTTTCGTTTTTAAATAAGTCTACCTGACATACTTTTTTTATTGCCAGACATTTTTCACATTGCTAACTATGTGCCAGACGCGATTTTAAGTTTTTTTTTTATAAAAATTTCAAAGTATTTTAGAATGTCTGTAATTTTAATATTATGTTATTTAAATATAAGAAAATCTAAAAATGAATTTGCCAGACATTAATTCGGTTGTTAAGTCTTGAATTAAAATGAAAAAGTATTGCAGTATGATGAAGCATTGCATTTTAAGAAGCGCAATTTTTAATTTTTCCTTTTTAAATAAGTCTACCTGACATACTTTTTTTATTGCCAGACATTTTTCACATTGCTAACTATGTGCCAGACGCGATTTTAAGTTTTTTTTTTATAAAAATTTCAAAGTATTTTAGAATGTCTGTAATTTTAATATTATGTTATTTAAATATAAGAAAAACTAAAAATGAATTTGCCAGACATAAATTCGATTGTTAAGCCTTGAATTAAAATGAAAAAGTATTGCAGTATGATGAAGCATTGCATTTTAAGAAGCGTAATTTTTAATTTTTCGTTTTTAAATAAGTCTACCTGACATACTTTTTTTATTGCCAGACATTTTTCACATTGCTAACTATGTGCCAGACGCGATTTTAAGTTTTTTTTTATAAAAATTTCAAAGTATTTTAGAATGTCTGTAATTTTAATATTATGTTCTTTAAATATAAGAAAATCTAAAAATGAATTTGCCAGACATTAATTCGGTTGTTAAGTCTTGAATTAAAATGAAAAAGTATTGCAGTATGATGAAGCATTGCATTTTAAGAAGCGCAATTTTTAATTTTTCCTTTTTAAATAAGTCTACCTGACATACTTTTTTTATTGCCAGACATTTTTCACATTGCTAACTATGTGCCAGACGCGATTTTAAGTTTTTTTTATAAAAATTTCAAAGTATTTTAGAATGTCTGTAATTTTAATATTATGTTATTTAAATATAATAAAAACTAAAAATGAATTTGCCAGACATAAATTCGATTGTTAAGCCTTGAATTAAAATGCAAAAGTATTGCAGTATGATGAAGCATTGCATTTTAAGAAGCGCAATTTTTAATTTTTCCTTTTTAAATAAGTCTACCTGACATACTTTTTTTATTGCCAGACATTTTTCACATTGCTAACTATGTGCCAGACGCGATTTTAAGTTTTTTTTTATAAAAATTTCAAAGTATTTTAGAATGTCTGTAATTTTAATATTATGTTATTTAAATATAAGAAAATCTAAAAATGAATTTGCCAGACATTAATTCGGTTGTTAAGTCTTGAATTAAAATGAAAAAGTATTGCAGTATGATGAAGCATTGCATTTTAAGAAGCGCAATTTTTAATTTTTCCTTTTTAAATAAGTCTACCTGACATACTTTTTTTATTGCCAGACATTTTTCACATTGCTAACTATGTGCCAGACGCGATTTTAAGTTTTTTTTATAAAAATTTCAAAGTATTTTAGAATGTCTGTAATTTTAATATTATGTTATTTAAATATAATAAAAACTAAAAATGAATTTGCCAGACATAAATTCGATTGTTAAGCCTTGAATTAAAATGAAAAAGTATTGCAGTATGATGAAGCATTGCATTTTAAGAAGCGTAATTTTTAATTTTTCGTTTTTAAATAAGTCTACCTGACATACTTTTTTTATTGCCAGACATTTTTCACATTGCTAACTATGTGCCAGACGCGATTTTAAGTTTTTTTTTATAAAAATTTCAAAGTATTTTAGAATGTCTGTAATTTTAATATTATGTTCTTTAAATATAAGAAAATCTAAAAATGAATTTGCCAGACATTAATTCGGTTGTTAAGTCTTGAATTAAAATGAAAAAGTATTGCAGTATGATGAAGCATTGCATTTTAAGAAGCGCAATTTTTAATTTTTCCTTTTTAAATAAGTCTACCTGACATACTTTTTTTATTGCCAGACATTTTTCACATTGCTAACTATGTGCCAGACGCGATTTTAAGTTTTTTTTTATAAAAATTTCAAAGTATTTTAGAATGTCTGTAATTTTAATATTATGTTATTTAAATATAATAAAAACTAAAAATGAATTTGCCAGACATAAATTCGATTGTTAAGCCTTGAATTAAAATGCAAAAGTATTGCAGTATGATGAAGCATTGCATTTTAAGAAGCGCAATTTTTAATTTTTCCTTTTAAATAAGTCTACCTGACATACTTTTTTTATTGCCAGACATTTTTCACATTGCTAACTATGTGCCAGACGCGATTTTAAGTTTTTTTTATAAAAATTTCAAAGTATTTTAGAATGTCTGTAATTTTAATATTATGTTATTTAAATATAAGAAAATCTAAAAATGAATTTGCCAGACATTAATTCGGTTGTTAAGTCTTGAATTAAAATGAAAAAGTATTGCAGTATGATGAAGCATTGCATTTTAAGAAGCGCAATTTTTAATTTTTCCTTTTTAAATAAGTCTACCTGACATACTTTTTTTATTGCCAGACATTTTTCACATTGCTAACTATGTGCCAGACGCGATTTTAAGTTTTTTTTTATAAAAATTTCAAAGTATTTTAGAATGTCTGTAATTTTAATATTATGTTATTTAAATATAAGAAAATCTAAAAATGAATTTGCCAGACATTAATTCGATTGTTAAGCCTTGAATTAAAATGAAAAAGTCATGAAAAGTATGTCAGTATGATGCCTTTCATTGGTAATAAAAACATTTACGTAAGTTTTAATAAATGTTATTCATACAAAGTGATAAATAACTAAGTAATTAAAACTATTGAAGAATAATTATCGTGTGAAGAACACGAAGAAGCTGATTCTAGGATTATTTTTCATATTTGCCAAATCGATTTTGACGCAGAAGTTGTTTTACGCTGTTCTGATTCTGAACAAAAATAAAATTAAAAATAACGCTTCCTCAAATGCAATGCTTCATCATACTGCAATACTTTTGCATTTTAATTCAAGGCTTAACAATCGAATTTATGTCTGGCAAATTCATTTTTAGTTTTTATTATATTTAAATAACATAATATTAAAATTACAGACATTCTAAAATACTTTGAAATTTTTATAAAAAAAAAAATTAAAATCGCGTCTGGCACATAGTTAGCAATGTGAAAAATGTCTGGCAATAAAAAAAGTATGTCAGGTAGACTTATTTAAAAAGGAAAAATTAAAAATTGCGCTTCTTAAAATGCAATGCTTCATCATACTGCAATACTTTTTCATTTTAATTCAAGACTAAACAACCGAATTAATGTCTGGCAAATTCATTTTTAGATTTTCTTATATTTAAAGAACATAATATTAAAATTACAGACATTCTAAAATACTTTGAAATTTTTATAAAAAAAAAACTTAAAATCGCGTCTGGCACATAGTTAGCAATGTGAAAAATGTCTGGCAATAAAAAAGTATGTCAGGTAGACTTATTTAAAAAGGAAAAATTAAAAATTGCGCTTCTTAAAATGCAATGCTTCATCATACTGCAATACTTTTTCATTTTAATTCAAGACTTAACAACCGAATTAATGTCTGGCAAATTCATTTTTAGTTTTTCTTATATTTAAAGAACATAATATTAAAATTACACACATTCTAAAATACTTTGAAATTTTTATAAAAAAAAACTTAAAATCGCGTCTGGCACATAGTTAGCAATGTGAAAAATGTCTGGCAATAAAAAAGTATGTCAGGTAGACTTATTTAAAAAGGAAAAATTAAAAATTGCGCTTCTTAAAATGCAATGCTTCATCATACTGCAATACTTTTTCATTTTAATTCAAGACTTAACAACCGAATTAATGTCTGGCAAATTCATTTTTAGATTTTCTTATATTTAAATAACATAATATTAAAATTACAGACTTTCTAAAATACTTTGAAATTTTTATAAAAAAAAACTTAAAATCGCGTCTGGCACATAGTTAGCAATGTGAAAAATGTCTGGCAATAAAAAAAGTATGTCAGGTAGACTTATTTAAAAACGAAAAATTAAAAATTACGCTTCTTAAAATGCTTTTAAAATCCAGGATATTACCTGGATAGATAGGATGCGCACTAAAGAACGCAACCGCTACCGCCAGCCAGATTGCCAAGACTCTAACCGAAAGTGCAAGAAGGAAGACATATCACAAAATCAGCTGACCTAAAATTCTTTCTCGAAAACGTTGCTACCTCCCGTACTATAAGTTTTTAAGGCATTTGCGTTTAACGTCTGTCCATTCTTTTGGGCGCCTCTGTCGTTTTCTAGTCGTTTTAGGAGTCACGGTGGCATAGCTTACGTGCGAAGAAGAAGGTGAATTTGTGGTGCTAAATGACGACGAAGAAATCATAGATAATAAGTCTGCATGATTAGGGCAGAATGAGCTATCGCAGATCGAATGGAGATTAGTAGGAGATGGCATAGGAGTTGGCAGTGACAGTTCCAAATTAACTGGGGTAGATCTGTGGTGAGAAACTTCTAACAACTCTTCAAGCTGAATTAATGGTGAATTCTCGAAACTAGAAGGCACTTCCAAAGAAAATGTGCTAGGTTGATTGCTGTAAACATCTTTGGCAGACGGATCAGACACATTCGGTATTGGGCTATCGCAGGTAATTTCTTCGGTCCCACCATCTTCATGCAGAACTTCTTCCCATATATCAGCTAGTTCTTGACTGATTTCTTCTGCACCGGAAGGCAAAGGTGAGCTTTGTTGTCTAATGTCGTTGTCATCAACGTTCAGAGCTGAAGTATAAAAAAATACTGGATAGTATTATTATAGGTATTCATAAAACATTATTAAGAAATGAATGCAACAAAAAAAAACTTTATAATATTATTATTTAACGATATTTTTAAATGAACAACGTCCTAACTGATGTCATTATCCCAGTAACAACGTCCCATCTTAATATCAAACCAAGAAATCATATTAAAGATTCCGTAGAAAAACGTCCTATTTTCATATGACACGCTTAAAATACCAATAATGTTCGTATAAAATCGTCCTTATGTTTCGTAAGACTTCTACTTTTTACTATTTATTATAACAGAAAGAATGAATACTCTGTGACTAAACATTATGCCAATTGCTTTTTCGCATGATTTTCGCACTACAAATGCGTTTCTATACCTCTCCGGCATGAAACGTCCTATATTAAAATCAATCGCCCACAACGCTTTAATGAGACAAAAATGCAATATTAAAGCAATACAGATATGATGTTTGTTAATTTAAGAATTTATTAGTGTGTATCGCGAAATAATACAGCTGAAATCGTCAACATACCAGTATTTACACTTTTTTTCGTATAATCAGTAGGAACATTTGAAAATGGTGCACTAAGCTCAGGCCTTTCTGCATCAGTTTTTTGTAGCATATCTAATATTTTCTTTGAACGTGACATCTTTAAAAATATGTTATTACATGCAAAGCACTTAATTTATTTTGTACATCAAACCAGAAAAAATCTGAGCGCATGACACAAATACATCCTCTCTCCAACGAACAGCGGCCGGAGTGACAAGCGGACGGGGCGCCCGCGCCTCCCCCGCTTCCCGCGCGCCGTCGCTAGATCACTTCGTGCGTTTTTATACGGAATTAATGTCAGATGGTGCGTTATTCGATTCTATATTTCCGAAACTAAACAAGATACGAAAATTCTAAAAACGTACATCTGTAGAGTTCGTATTCCTTATCTCGTTTAGCTATTAAAATCATTTTTGCTCCATGATCACATCGGACTCTGTTCTACGGATAAGTCGATTTGTATGTAGGATGACGTTGCGGCACCGCTCCGGCGCCGCACCACACCGTTAACTCATCGTGTGGCCGCGCTCTTAGAGTTACACATATTATGTAATGTATGATGGAAATGTTTATCTTAAATAGTCATACAAAAAAGCCTGCCATAGTATATATCTATGTCTTATGTGCAAGCCATTATAGCCAAAAATGTGAACCATAACTACAATAAAATTTTAATACTGTATTTCAAATGCACATTTGGTAGTAATAAATTGATTCCTAAATGAAAATAGATACTTTTATCGCTTCTGGTATTTAAAGTGGATAAAATATGTCTTTCGCAAATATTATTTTAATCCTGCGCAGACGAGGTCGTGGGCACCAGCTAGTTTATTAATAATGTTAAGTACATAATCTGTCATTGTGAAGCCAAATCAAATATAATAAATAAATAACGTATCTACTTATAAGATTAAAAATATATAAGAATTAAGTATAATAAAGCATGCTCTCTCACGACACAACAACCATGGTCCTCATTGTAACAAAATTATAACATGTCACCTGTAAAGTATGAACATAAGGAATGCAATAAAGATTTGAGTTTGATTTTGAAATTCGTTGTGTGAATCTGATTACCTACTTCCTAATGGTAGCAAGTCACATGTGTGTGCATTATTAAGCTATATTTAAATATGGGCCTAAAATATTTAGAAACATGATTATTTTATTTATTATTTTATTGTTTCGAAAAATTCACATAATATCCAGTTAAGTTTAATTATTATTATTTTTTAGCTTAATATGTTATACCTGTAATATTGTCAGCGTAGAACTATGTTTTTCCACGACTAATTCATATCCCCTCTCCCTCATAGCCTCTTCGAGTCCCTCCAAAGTGCCGATGGGCTGCTCCTTGGCCGGTTTGGCCATTAGACTAGTTAAGTTTGCGGAGTACATATCTCCAATGACGTAAGTGGCGCCGAGGGATATTATTATAGAAACCAATCGAGCCTTGTTTGACCGGGAGGGCTCTTTGTTGGAGGCTGATTCGTTTGAACAAAAAAAACAAGGTTTAAAATTTTCACAGATTTAGCGCGATCTGTGTATGTCAAAATACAAAAGATTTTTGACGTACGTAACGACGGTAAATTTTTATTTATTGTAAAATATGTTGTTTTTACAGCAAGAATAATGTAATAAACATAATATATATATATATTAAAAACAAAAATAAAGCCAAACTTATACAAAATAAACTATGTACAAGTTATTGTCATTTTTTCTAAGTTTATGGATTTCCGGTTACCCGAAACGATGTTTCATTTACCGTACAAGTCTTAAATGCGCACACAAAAGTAGATTTGTGCATAGCCGGAGTTCGAACCGGAAATGAAGTACTTGCACTGCTCAATTTCAATACAGTATAATATAGGCGGAGTAATTTAATTAGCCAGTTAACAAAAACACGAGCTACAAACAAAACACAATCAATAATGGAGTGACAAAAAGCAATGGTAGCCAAAAAATCGTATAAAATAATTGTCAAGAGAATAACATTTACTTTGTCTCAGGAACAGCGTAGTTGTGAACCAACAACATTCGTCCAATAGTTGCAGCATGTTTTGTTGACGTCGCTGCCAATACATCGGCGTTGCTATCACAAACCAAAGAGCTGGGCCTATTACAAGCAAGGTAGCGCATACCAGGGGCCATACCTATAAACGCGAATTTTTTGGATTATTTACTCTATTTTTTTTACTGGGTAAACAGGCACAAAGCTTACCTGATGTTAAGTGATTGCCGGCCTTTTAAGAGTACCGAAGGGGTCCTTCAAGAAAGGAACTCTTAAAAGCGACTAAGGCGACTTGGTTCGGAAATACTTCAATGGGCAGCTGGTTCCACATAGTGGTGGCGGAAAAAATTGCTTTAAAAATAGCACAGCTTTTTGAAGTTATACTTCTTAAGGCGCGTTATGAAAAATTGATGAGAGTGAAATTTTACAATGCGCGCGCACCTGAGACACGAAGTTGTCAGTGTGATTATAGCGTGCGCGATCGAGATGGGAATAAGACAATCTACAAGTAAAAAGAAATAGAATATGCGTGAAGTTAGCAGCTATGCCAAGAATTTTAAATGAACATAATGACATTTACCTTTTAAACAAATAAAGGAGACTTTTTCACAAAGACCTATTGTTACTTAGTTAAAAGGTTATGAAACATTCCTAGTTATTAAATTGAATGAATAATATAATAAAATAATAAATAATAATAATTATTAATTAATAATTGAATAATATACTAAATATTAAATATTATTAAATTATCAACGTTAATTTATTATTAATTATTTAATATTTTAAAAAAATAAAGAAAGCCAAAGAAGTATAAGTTCTTACGCGCGTACATAAGTACACGCACCCTTTTTTATATTATGGTAATAGTTTTAACTTAATAGTACAGTTCCTACAGTCTTCCCAGCATATGTTCTATTTTTGTAATCTTTTATATATTTTTGGAGCTTCACACATACTTTTTTCTTTGTATAATAAACACTACGCATACACAATCATACTTCACAGTTTTGTATTAATTCTACACACTCTATAACAAATTACAAAAAAATAACATATGATAGGAGGGAGACTATAGGAATCGTATTTACCTGCCATTGAAAGGGTCTAATGATAACAAGAGTTTCGCTGAGTTTGTCTGGAGCGTGAGTGAGGAAGGCTGCCGAATCTGCTAGGGTTAGGAAAGAGAACTCCACCGCTTGAAGCCTTTCCCATGTAATCGTAACATCTCCAAGGAAGAAATCAGCTTGCTGAAATATATTTTATTATTTTTTCTAAGAAAACCAACAAGGCTGGACATTTTTTTTAACATCTTGGAAATAAATATCAAGGATTTTTGTATTCTAATCGGGATTTTTTATTAATCGGTCCAGAACTTTAAGTTTATACATACAAAAACACTTTAAATATTTCACATAAGTTTCGTTTGAATTAAACACCAATATCCGCCATTCGTTAATGCAATTTGAATATTTTTTACGTTATGCGCATTTGTCTGACGTTATATGAAGCATATAAAATTTAAAACAAAGTACTACAAAAATTCCGTACAATGTTACAAGAATTGTTACCCGTTTCCATATGAGTCCAAGAACTCCTTTGAATGTGCCGTTACCGGATATCATTGAGCCCTGACTTCGCACTGGTGGATCGTAATATTTGTATCTGAAAGTAGATATAATGAAAAAATATACCGAAGCACACTAAAATAATTTTCATTTCAAATAGTCTAAACTGTAAAAGGATTGATGATATTTTTAAATTTATAAGGTTATAAAATATCCAAACCAATATATGAGTTTTAAATATCTTCATTCGGGCTACAAAAAGCTGACTGATTAGTTTCATTAACAACTGTTGTGTCCAATATTAATAATAATTAATTAGATATGTTGTTCAAATTATTAAAATAAGTTTATTTGTGTAATTACGCTTCTTTGACGACTACAAACATGATTTTTTTAATTTTATTATCATTATTATTATTTATTAAATCAACATAATATAGCAAGATTTTAATAGAAACATCCATAAATAAAATATTCATTTAAATCATAACATCAAACAGTTATTTCAACTTGATGTGGCTGTCTGTAGCACAGTATTTTCCAACCTTTTTTGTGCCATACCCCACGTAAGCCTTTCTATAATGCTTATGACCCATATGTAAAATACATAATTTTTAATATTAAATAAAAAAATGTGTGCGTGTACTAGGTGTACACACGTAAGAAGTCAAACTTCTTTATGACCTTATTAGAAACTATTTCTTTAAACACAGTAAATTTTGATACACTGCCTAGCATACAATTTACAAATTAATTGCTGCAAATTGCGATTAGCAAATTTCAAGTCGAAAATGTAATCCGTTGTCAAACTTCAAAGTCAAAAACATACTATATGTCATATTTTAACGCCGATAAAGAAGTTTGACTTCAAAAAGCAACATGGCGCGTAACGAAAAAATGTGACGCGTAACGCAAAAATGTTACACTAAATTTTTTTCCAACCCCGATAAAGAAGTTTCACTTCAAAAATTAAATTAGTCACTTAAGAAATAAGGAAGAAATTGTTAACGAAACACAGTAAAAATTTTCAAAACATATCAAGAAAAACTGAAATTCAAATGACAAATAATTTTAATAAATTTTCGAATAGCCTCCCCTTGATTGCTGTATATTTTACAAAAAATATATTTACCACATTAAATCCAAACTTATGGAGATTGTAATGCTGCTTTTATGTTTATTGTTCTACCAGTGGACTTAATGAATATTAATTTACATATTGGTCTAAACACATATTTAAACCATTTGCTTGAGTGGTACTATTAGTATATCTAAAATGACTTTACTTGAAATTTAATTTCCCAGCCAGCAGTGCGAGTAGCTTGTCATCTCTACCGCCCGTTACGTTAACTGAAGAATTTTTGTAATTAACAAAGTGCCATGGAGGAGCCTGCCGACAAGTACGCAAAATAATTCCAGTTGACCTATGCCCTATACTTTTTGTGACTCAAATATAAAAGTGGATAAATCTGTCTTCATACACACATACAAACATTTCGATAGCATATGCTGTCGCTGACTTTTGTAGGAATTATAAGCTCTACAACTTTTCTCTAGGAATAAATCATACTTGATACATACGTTTATATATTACATTCACAAAAAATGCCTTTCTATTGGTTAAAGGATTTTCTAAATAGGTTCAGTAATTTTATACCTTTATAATATCAGTACAGATAAAAACTTTAGTCTTTTTTTAGAAAAATCGTAAATATCGGCATGTCTTTAAAACTCCGGCCTTTATTACAAAATATTCAGAGCTGTTTCTAGGTTTATTACTTTATATAGACATTGATTAATTAAAATATTGACTTGACATAGACTTTGTTTATATTCTTTTCAACATTGTTGTATAGCCCGGTCAATTTAGACATTCGAAGTTACATAAAGTCCCAACAAGCTGAATTTCTGTGAAATTGTTCAAAACATAATTATAAACAATGTCTAGAAGTTCCCCATCATTCCCGTGTAAGGAAAAATTTTTATTCAAGGGCAAAGGTCAAGAAAATGTGTTTTTCGCGATTTTCAGCAAAACGGTAAGTTTTATCATAAAAGTACTTCAGACAAAAATTGTAGATCATACAATTATCTATAAAAAATGTATCAATACTTTTTTTTCTTACGAGCCACCATTTCTGAGATATAACGATTCAAAAAGTTATAAAAGTTGTTATCGACGACCGGCCTTGACAATTTGTGCATGCCAAAGAACAAGGACAGTCCGACTTTTTTGCAACCACATTTAGAACTGCATCCCTTTTTGCATATTATATTGCAAAAAATAGTGTTCAGCAGTTTTTCCGGCGCAGAACTGGCTCTAATAATGTTGACCAACTTCCAACCTCAGTCTGTAAGGTCTAGCTGATAACCAAGCCACACTTGAACTTGGTAATATACTCGAAAAAGGTGTTGGTGAGCAGCAACTGAGGTTGGAGGAAGACAAGCTAATTGAACTTGTCTTTAATTTTTAGTATTTTTAACGAAACATGCATATCGATGCTTATCTAAACAGGTAGTTTTTTTAGGAGCTCCGTACATAGAAATAAGAAAGCGGATGCCGTTGGTAATAACTTCTTGTTGAGTTGAATTACTCTTTTTAAAAACTTCAGCACATTGAAGTAAATCTTGTTTTTCAAACATTTTGAAAACTGCTGTTTTACCCCTCCTGTAAAATGCAGATATCGTATCACAGCCAGTTATTGCGTGTAAAAATAGTACATGATCTTGACACTTTACAAAAGTATATAAACTTTTTGATGAATATATATCTGATTGATGCTGAGCTTTTCCTGGTTTTAAGAAAAAAATAGTTTTTTCAGTTGGCGTTCGAGCAGTGAGTAATACAAGTAAGTCAACATCTTCACCAACAACCATAGTTGTATTTGTCAAATTTTTAGGGATGTTGCTTGAGGTTGACTCGTTCAGAATTATTTGGTCGATGTTAAAATAAAACTCCCTAATTACTTGTAGAGAAGAGGTGAAGATGGAATAATGAATGATCTTTATTTACAAAACTGTGTACAATTATACTTAAAAATTATCCTACACTTACAACTAATATTGACATGTGGTGCCAAGATGCGGAGCGTTGGTTGGTTGCGCAGGTACCAGGGTAGGCGATAAAAATGCGGCGCGGCAAAAAGTTGGCCTTTTTCTGCACGCAGCCGTCTAAGCGTACGAACGCGATTCATGAGAGTTGCGACCGGGCGCCCCTCTATGTGAGAAACGTCGATCTCCACCACGACCTGGAGCTCCCTACCATAGCCCAATGGATGAAGTTGGCGTCCGCACGCCACTTCGACAAGGCTAAACACCATCCCAACCCTTTGGTGCGTAAAAGCATCAACTATTATCCTTTCCCGCCGGCTAAAAAATGTCATAGGAGGCCCCGACACACACTAACGGATCCGGATGATCCAATTACTGTAGCAAACAATAAATTAAAAACCGCCCGCGCGGCAAATAATAACAATCAAAGTATTCAGACACAGATTAGGGTTAAAAACCGCCTTCACCGGGGAAGGCGAGGACCTTTATTTCGCACTTCGCTCACTCCAGTGAGTTTCCGTCCTGCCCTTCAGGCGATTGACCACCCCGTGACGGCCCAAGCCGAGGTTCGAGTCTCACAGGAGACGCCCTTGCGCTAGTCGCGGGAAAAACGCTCATTCTGGTCGAGCTACGCTCGCCAAAACAGCCCGAGCTGAGCTGTCAAGGCCCTAAAGGCCAACAGCGAGATCCCTTTCAAAAAAAAAAAAAAAAAAGCGTACTGTTATAACTGAACTTGAATTAGGCTTTTTAAAAAAAACAAATTTTGATTTCGGAGCAACCGTCTTGAATTAGGAGTAGGAAACAACTAACTGGGTTTGAGCGGGATGTTTATTATATAGGAAGCAAAGTGTTTACGTAGTTGGAAAGAGGGAATGAAGTCAGCTTTAAGGCTAACAGAATAAAGGTGTAACAGTACGAACGTGTTCTTCTCAGAACACTTCGATATCGTAGCCTTGCGATAACGCTAATAACTGTCCTTTTCAGGACAAATTATCGTATCACGACTAAACGTCTAACAACTGTCCTTTTCAGGACATATTACCGTGTCTTACGACACGATGAAACTGTTCTTTTCAGAACACACGACCGTAACTATTCTGATGTGTTCTTGTCAGAGCACATCACTGTTTCATTACGACACGTTAATCAATCACCTACAAATTGAATTGCTCTATTGCTGTTTCAATAATAATCAATACATCAGTATCATTATAACTTTTTGAATCGTTATATCTCAGTAACGGTGGCTCGTAAGAAAAAAAGTATTGATACATTTTTTATAGATAATTGTATGATCTACAATTTGTGTCTGAAGTAATTTTATGATAAAACTTACCGTTTTGCTGAAAATCGCGAAAAACTCATTTTTTTGACCTTTGCCCTTGAATAAAATTTTTTCCTTACACGGGAATGATGGGGAACTTCTAGACATTGTTTATAATTATGTTTTGAACAATTTCACTGAAATTCAGCTTGTTGGGACTTTATGTAACTTCACTCTCATTTTTTGGTCTAAATTGACCGGACTATGTAGTAACATTTAGCTGATATCTTATATAATACTAGCGAATTCGACTTACGTTGTCCTGTACACACGTCTAACATACAAAAAAAACTAATAATGTAAATCATTCTCGACTCCACTTGAACACACAAAAAAAATCATCAAATCTGTCCAGCCGCTTAGATTCTTACGAACACATACACAGAAGATTTATATATACCAGCAGTTTATGTACTGTATATAGTAGAGTTCAGTGACATACACACGTACAGTAGCATTATATATATACGTATAATGAAGATAAAAATTTGTCACACACAGACTTTGACATAAGCGACTTAAATACACTTTTTTAAAAATAATAATAAATTTAATAGTTAACGGCGAGACATCTCAGAAATGATATTAGAAAATTAATGATCACACGACAAAACTCACGTGTAACACAGGAACATTAAAAACTCGCCCGCGAAAGTTCTTGTACACTTTATCCGCAGCTGGCAACACTGGATTCTTATATAAACGACCTGCCCACCAATTCACTAGGGATAAGTGATTAAGGCGATCTGGTGTGGCTTGGTTATAGTAAATGCGGTAGCTGAAATAACAACTATATGTGAATATTCGTGAGTATTCATTCCGTTCTACTTCAATATCGGTTCAAACATACTTTATTTCTCAAACATTTACATTCACTTAGTGAGAAAATTTAGAGTAGGTTAATTATGTACATCGTGTTATGAAATTATTTGAAAATAAACTTTATAAAATAAAAATATTAGTTACTAACAATATTTTTACAAAACGATAAAAATATGCTACAACAGGCATTATGTGACTAATGAATAATAATAAATTCATAGACGCTCGTTCACAAATGCTACAAGTGACTTTTTTGATGTAAAAAAATATAAATAATTATTCAAAATTTGTTTTAATTAGTTACTGTTAATATGTATTATGTTAATTTAAAGCACTTTCTAGACAGTACAGTTATTAATTGAATTTTGAATCAGAAAATTGTTTTTTTACAGAACCCGGGCTCATCTGATGTAAAGTGATACTGCCGCCCATGGACACCTCACCTGCAGCCCTGCGATTCTGTAACTCACTTTTCGAGGCTCACAGTGCGGTTTTCGCTGGCGCCCGCCCCCAAACCCGCCGCGGGGCGCCGTCTTTTAAAGTTTGTAAGGTATGCGTTAGAATGCCAGTCTTGAACCTTGAACTTAGGGAACTTAAGTAGAATTGGTTCAGAAATACTTCAATGTGCAATGCAAATTATGTGATTGTTAATTTTTTTTTAATATTAATTTCTTAGATTTTCTCATATTAAGTACATTATGAGGTACCTTTTGAAAAAAAAAACAAAAAAACTACACAAAGGTAATTTTCGTTAAACATTAATAGTCCTAATTTTGTTTATAAAGTTTTAATAGTACTAAATTTTATAAAAACAAAATTAAAATTAATGGTAAGCAAACAACAGTTTAATAATGTGATGACGTTGTAATAATAATAATTCAAAATGTACCAAATTATATAGGACACATTTGCACGACAATGTGTGAGGCGGAATATAAAGAAAATTACATTGTGCACAGAGTAAAGACTATTCTTGCAAATAAATAATAATTATTATAAGTAAATATTGTGATAAAGGTGGACGCTGGTACTCAAAAAATACTCCAGCCAATTCCCAATCGGTGTTTCGTCCAATTGAATTACAAAATACGTGATTGTCCGAAGCTTTGTATTGGGTTCTGAGAAAAATGTAATTTTTAGAAATAACGTCGGAACGAACGGCAATCAGTCGAAGCGTGTTGCTTGCGAAGAAACATTTTTACTAAGATTTTGTTAAATGAACTGTAACTTATTATTTTAATTCCTTTTGTGGGCGTATTTACACAAATTGCAAGAACATGTTAAAGCAATTTCTTTATATAAGTTAAAAGGTTACTAAGGCTAGCGAAGTACAGCAATAAAAATTAAAATACTAATAATATTAGTTAATAAAAGTAGTATGTTTTCCCGGGGACTACCTCACTCTCTGCCTTGGTCGACCTACCCCGCGTCGGACTGCCTCTGAGGCTGAGCCACCGACTTTTTTTTTGTTTTTCCTACAATGACGTTCACAAAAGAGAGTGCGACTTTACAATCTAGCCTATACAATAATTATGGCTAATAAGTAATATTTTGTTGACTTAATTTTCATCACTACTAGTGAATAGCTTAAACGTAGGTCATGTTCATTAACAGTCTTAGTGTTTAAAGAAAACACTTTTTTAACGGATTGAAGCTATGTCTTATTATAAACTTATAATTATCTTACATAATTTTAATTTTTTTTCCCGACCATTCGCGTGCTTTACAGCGTGCGTGGTCACGGCGACTAAAGACAAAAGGTGTTGAATGTCAAAAAGTATCACAGCTGTAGAAAAAGTTATATTATCTGTATTTATTTCCCCGGAGTTGATATCGACTAAAAGATGAAGGGTACCTACATAGCTTCAATCCGTTAAAAAGTGTTTTCTTTAAATGTGTAAAAGTTATGTTAATAAAAGACAATACTATAGTCTTAGTGTTCTATAATGTTCGTTCGTATGTCCGACATAAAAAAGGCTTCTTGTTGAGCCATAGGTGAAATTTCTAAGAAAATCTTCTAATCTCATACCGCTGTGAATAGCCATCCAACCGGGTTGAGAGTCAGGGTCAAGGTTATCTATAATATAAAAATGAATCGCAAAATGTGTTGGTAAGCGCGTAACTCAACAACGCCTGGACCAATTTGGCCAATTCTTTTTTTATAAAATTCCTTGAAGTGCGAGGATGGTTCTTACGGAGAGAAAAATTAAAAAAAATCGAGTGAAAAAGTCTAAAAACAACACTTTTCTATATTCCCATATAAAAGATTCGTAATAATACTTAAAAGTCAATTTGAACTTTAATACCATACCATAAAGTTTAAGTGTTAGTGGAGGGGTTCCGAGAAGGTACATTTTTATTTTTTGACATAATGTATTTGTTGTCTTATCAACTTTCTTTTTTTATCTTACTAGCTAGACCGGTGTCCCGAATAGCAGAATAAGTATTTAAAAAAAAATAAAGAATCGACTGTTAGGCGGTACGATGTTCGCCAGACCAGCTAGTTCATAATAAATGCAGGTGTGCGAATATTGGAAGGCGATTCAGAGGATACACGTTATACGGCAGGCTGGTATGAATTCTATGAAGACTCATTTGCAGGTCCAATGAATTCATTTTCTATTCAAAATATGCAACAGGCTCAAGTGGCTGGGACATATCCACCGACTGGCGTACTACAGAACCCCAAGGTCCTTATTAAACTCACAACCCGGTGGCAAGAGAAAACCCGGTAGACCGAGGCTGCGTTGGTGGGATGGAGTTGTCAAGAACCTCGAAACAATTGGTGATCGCAATTGGACGCGGGAAGCACTTGGATGCGCGAAGCACTGGATAAACATTAAGAATAAATTATTTTCGTTCGTTTTCGTAGCAAAAATTGTGCCCTTTAGTTTTTCATAAATTCTAATATAACATTCTTGTTTCCGAGAATGTACAATAAATCGACATCACTTATATACGTTATAGATTGTGTCACTTAGTTTGAAGAACCCAAAAATTAAGTTACAGTTTTTGTTAGTCCAGCTTCACAACCCCACTACCCCAATTTTATGTTAGTTATAAGATCTTGTTCAGTTATAACTATTGCCATAATATTAAAAAAAAAAAAAAAAGATCTTGTACTGAACCATTAAAGACAGATAGCTTCGAACTAAGTTTTCATTTATTTGGACATCCCTCCAACAACCGCCACCGAACTTAACTCGACTTGTGACACAAATAGGCGAACTAAATAATTAATAACAGCTAAAATTATTATAATAGTCGTTGATTTAATGGTAATCACATATTCATTATAATTTAGTGTATCGGCTGCGTTGATTTACGATGTGGTTTATACTATTGATTTATATGCCGTTTACTCGCTAGCGTTTAATTTGTTTCTCCTTTACTCTTATGGGAAAAATAACATGTTAGAGAGGGAGGCGTATTTTGGGTTTGATAAGTCATTATTTATCTGGCTTTTATACTGAATATTAGGTATCGATGTTTATGGTCTATTGAATATGCTAGGTCCCAAATTGGTATAAAATTTAGCCTTTAGAAATTAAGAGTCACTTAGGAATGTTGTTTAAAGGTTGCTTTTGTTTTGTTTGTACTGTCTATTATTTGAGAACTGGATTAAATAAAATAGGTGAGGCAATAATTTAATTACAATTTGACTTATTTCGTATGATTAAAGGTGATAATGTTTCGCTATTTTAATTACTTTCTTAATACTTTTGCACGTGAAACAATAACTTTTGTCAATAATTAATCTGACTTTTATTACTTTGAAATAAGAGAGCGTTGGCCTAGTGGTTTCAGCGACTCTTCTTCAGCATGTCTGATACACCTTAACGTGACGGTGTGTGTCACCCTAAGAAGGTGATCAGCATCTACAGATACAGAAATCTGAGGCTAAGATGTGGTAGAGCCACTGGTTGATTTTGAAATTAAATAATGTCGAAGTAGTATTATAACGAGTTTGTGTTTCTATATTTTTTGGGTGTAGTACATTTGCTTTACAATAAAATAGTTTTCGAACAAAATAGTCATTTGTCAGACACAGTAGGCTGACACCCACTTGCCACGAAACAATATTATTTAAGGAGTCCTTTGTCAATAAAGGGTTGTAACACCCAATTATTACGTGTGTTTGTTACATCTATCGTGGTTTTAATGGTCTGAAAGTAATAAAATACAAGAAAATACTTACACACATTTCCTTCGAGTAACAACGACCACTCTCATGGCTTCTTCGATACTGTCGCAAAACTTTGTACTAACTGCCCCGTGTTCCCAGTAGAAAATATATAGCATCGAACGGTGGATGAAATTTATATCTGTTAACTGGCAACAAACTTTTATCTTAGAACTTTAAAATATAAAAAAGGTGTACCTCGATTTATAGTAATTGCAGTTTTACACGGAACTTTTATTTTTAGAACTTTTTCAGTTAAACATTGTATGATTTTAACTATGTGAGTTTAAGACGCTCTATATCTTTAGTATATGTAACAAGCTATATTTTCTACAATTCATGAGAATTATGGTAAACATAAAAATTACAAAAAATTAAACATAAATTTATAATATATAATATATATATATATAATATTTTAGATTTTACTATAAAATAGCGGATCACATAGGCACTTAATAATTTTTTGTTTAATTGATCAGCCCACTACCGAATATATTAAGTCCTATTAGGATAAGTAGTGTTTATTCTGTTATATTAGCGAAGAATTCGAATGAGAAATGCCTGAACTCCTAGGTTGGTTTTTTTGGATTTTGAAAATCCTGCATAACAACAACATGAAATAATAATAATAATTGAACAGATATCTCTGCATTAATTTGTTCGAGTATTAAATTCAATTTGGTTTGTATTAACGATACTCAATTTTCCAATTTTTACTTAGCCAATTTTTTTGCCTTTCGCCGTAAATTATTTTTACGAATTTAGCCTTGGTTAATAAATTTTATTAGTTATATTTGACGTATGAAAATGATTGTATTTAACTCTTACATATTATATATTTAAATACAAATTTCTCGCCTATAAAATAAATACCTCAGAAATAATATTTTCGCATTCGTAAGCCTCACAAAGTATGAAACTTGTTCGTTCTTCAGATGTGTCCAGACCTTTCCTTTGATGTTCATAATACTGTAAAAATATAGTATTATTTTTTTGACACATTAATTTGAAAGCTTCGAAAACTATTATAAATGTACAGCTCACCCGACAAACGATGTTTTGCCATGTATATTATTTCTAAGAAACATTGTTTTAGTTCAATAAAAATAACTATCTGCTATAATAAAAAATAGGGGTTGATCGTGGAAGGGTAAAAATAAGGGTTGTATGTATTTTTGTATGTTGTATCATAAAAAAATAAAAACAAAAAATTCGTCTAAAATTTTAAAAAAATTAGTGCGGGGGACACACCCCTTATCACTTAAGGATTTGAAAAATAGATAGTAGCCGATTATTAGGCATACTGAATATTCATAAAATATTTCATAAGAATCGGTCAAGCCGTTTCGGAGGAGTATGGGAACAAACATTGTGACACGATAATAATTTTAATTATAAAGAGATATATATAAGATTACTCTTACGGTGCTTTTGCTGTTATTTGCTCTGAAGTCCATATATACAACTCCAATATTGTTTTTACTTAACGCATATATTAGATTATCTATAACCTCTGTACTGAAAAAAAAAATGAACGGTTAATTCGCATCGTAATGTTTTTTTTTTTTCATAAAAAAGCTTCTTGGCCAAAGAACCTTTCCACTGCGCACACTGTAAACAGTCTAACGGTGAAGGAAAACATCTCGAGAAAACCAGTCTTACATCCAAAAAAGTCGACGGCGTGTGTCAGGTACCAAAGGCTTTCACCTAAGACATTATAAAAAATAGATACAGAAATCTTAGACTCAAGACCAATGCTTGTTTTTTAAAGCTTTACACAATAAAAAAAAATAAAAAACGTTTTGAGATAAGGTAAGACTAGACTCTGAATGAGCATTTGTCTACGACTTATGGGTTATCTAACGAAAGATCGTATCATAAGTCACAATCCGGTTTAAGTCATGTTTTTATAGTACAATATTTGTTTTGTAATAATTTACATGATATAAAAATAATTATGAAGAAAAATTTCACTTCACCGGTTCTGCGACCCAAAATGTCTTGAATACAACAATATAAATCATCCATTCATTAATAATCAAAACTTATAAAGTAACCAAAAGAAAGAGAAAATCCAACAAAAAAAAAACAATATGTTAATAATAATAATGATTAAATTTGATTCTATAAAGAAAACGAATGTTAACATATTCGACAAAATTGTAGTTTAACATTTTTTGAAAATAATTCGTAGTACAATATTTTAGAACGATCATCAAATAATAATAATTGTAGAGTTAATTAAAATAACATATCTGAAATATTATGTTAGTTTAAAATCCCAGGTATAATATACGTTATAGTAATGGTTGAAAAATGTAAATCCTATTTTATTATTCAATAACATAAGTTTGTTATCCGCTTTGTAAAAATTCGTTTGATTTTTAGTTCACTAACTGGATTACACAATGTACTGGAATAAACTTTTAAACGTTAAAAGGTACAGGATTACATTTACAAAATTTGTAATTCAACTTTCGTTTGTTTGCATTCTTAATAGAATCTATTAACAAACACCAAAGAGTATAATATATACTCAATTAATACTTGTCTAAAGGTCGGCAGACTATAGAAACAAATATTTTCTGTAATGAACACTAAACTCTAATCATAGAGGAATACGATAATTTTAGTACCATTAGTAATATAATTCACAATCACAAATATAATACATTTCAAAGCAATCTAAGTCTCATGAAATTCAGTACAAGTTAAAACGAAACAGAAAAATAAGAAACAAAGTATCTAGCTGTTCTGTGCAAAAAAACAATAATGGCGCCAAGTCACCACGCATATTCTGCCACAGACAATTAAAAGATGGCATATTGCGCACCGACGCGTTCTATAATTTAAAAATAATTGATGAAACTTGTTTGGTGACACTTAGTATCGTAATGAAATAAATATAAATTTGTACATTATTTCATTATAGAAAAATACAATTTATAAATTATAGTTTTTATTTAAAAAATTTGCGATACAGAGAAGATGAAATATTTTTGAAGTTATACTTCTTTAGGCGCGTTATGAAAAATTGATGAGAGTGAAATTTTACGATGCGCGCGCACCGTGACACAAAATTATCAAAATGACCATAATGATCTTTGTAGTACCTTTTAAACAAATAATGGAGTTTTAATTATTTTTTCAAAGAAATTTAGCAATGCTTTTTCACAAAGACCTATTGTTACTTAGTTAAAAGGTTATGAAACATACCTAGTTACTAAATTGAATGAATAATATAATAAAATAATCAATAATAATTATTAATATTCATTAATAATTGAATAATATATTAAATATTATTAAATTACTAACGTTAAATATGTATTATTTAATATTTAAAAAAAATAAAGAAAGCCAAAGAAGTATAACTTCTTACGCGCGTACATAAGTACACGCACTCTTTTTTTTATTATTAAATTTAAAACTGAGCAAGTGTTTTAAATTTATTTATACGGTTGAACTTTAAGTGTTTAAAAATTAAATACAGAGTTAATAAAATATATTTTATCATTCACGTTCTCCTACTATAAATTAATACAGTTTAATATTGTCTTCTGTAAATATTTATTCGTAAATATCCCACCAAAACTATTCATCAACTAAACTTAATATATTTCCAAATTTATTATATAACGTGCTGATAAATAAACATTGAATATAATATATTTTTGATCTTATTTAAATGGTCATCATTAAAGTCCCTTTGATTTCTTTGAAATGTAACTTTTTAGATGTTTACCTTTATAAAAAAGGTGTAATGTATACAAAGTAAAATGAATTTACGATACTTCTTAATTTGGTCGTGTAAATTATATGTAGTTTTATACTACAAGTCTAATTTCTTTATAAATGCGATTGTAATAATATTTACGTATATGTGTTGCAGTTGACAGATAACTATTTGATATTAATAAAACACTATTTTGACCGGATTGAAGTTATGTATTATTATAAATTTACAACTATTTAACATAATTTTAAATTTATCCGACGTTTCGCGTGCTTTACAGCGTGCGTGGTCATAGTTGTAAATTTATAATAATACATAACTTCAATCCGGTCAAAATAGTGTTTTATTAAATGAATAAAAGTTATGTTAATCAAAGACAATACTATTTGATATTATAACTAAAGAGTGGCATATGAACCTTATATAATATTGCCGTGAATTTTAAATTTGCAATATTTTGCTGGTTTTGTCCGAATCACGTGAGCGAAAGTTTAAAACCAGTTTTAAATGTCCAAACATACAATTATTACTATTTATTAAATATATTATATCACTAACATTTTGTACACTTGCAAGGTTACTAGCTCAATTGAAATTTTAAACCCCCATTAAAACCGAAATCAGTCTAATTGCCCTCTTTTCACCAAAGTCTATTATTATACAATTTCATCTCTTTCGAGACGAATTTCGCATTTATTGTTGTTTATTTGTTGAGGTCGAGAACCAGAATAACCTTGACAATTGGTTCTGTTTTATTCTAAATTTAAAAGACGTTCGTCTAGCGTTGCTCTCGTGATAAATAAAATGGCGGTAAATATAGTTAATTTCATACCAGGTATAACCCCAATGCATTACCTGATATTGGTTGAATTCCCTCTAACAATAGTTATGGCTCTGGTCGGTAATCCGGCAGCTAAATCCACTATAGCTCGAGAGAAGTCTTTGGGGAGCATCTCACCGACTCTAAATTCGTTTCCGATGGAGAAACATTGAACTGTAGTTAGACACAAGTATAAAATACATTTCCGTGATATCATGTTCAGAGTTAAGTAATAAATGTCGATTAATGTTGTCCAATACAGTGATATAAAGATTTAAAAAATATAGATACGCCTTAGTCAAAGACTGGACCTGACGCTATGATTTTTTTACTTGCATATTTTTATTATAAAATTGTATTTTTTAAACGGGTTTACAAATTTAATAAAAACGGGCCAAATATTCAGATGTTGGTAATACCATAAACAACAGACAGTTTTTTACGCTCCAACAGTCAATTGTAAGGAAACACTAAATCAAGAACACAGATACACCAATTTTAATGCAGTCAAAACGCGTTTTTTTTTAAATTGTCAGTACCGTAAAATTTAACATTTTACCTTAACAATAGAACTTCAATCATACCAAAATCTAGTTTCAAGAGCTGTCAAACCATTATCTCTGTATGAAGTTTGACATATTTCACAGTGTTCCAGACGAAATTGTGACTTGAGATACGACTTAGAATATGGACATAAGTAATATTTAATATGAAGAAATATGTTGTCAATTATTTTGTGATGAGATATTTTTCATATTTGAAAATGGCAAATATATTATTTGAAAACTTAGGAATAAAAAAACTTATATAGAAATTCAACAAATAGCCGCCGACAGCGCAAAACAGAATTTCATAACAAACGATTCACACTTGCATTTATAATATAATTAGGCTTAGGATTAGCAACGTTCCTATATGTTACAGTAGCGGAAAACATAAATCTAATTTTATGATACAGATCATACAACTTACTTAAAACTTTCTTAGTCTAAGAAAAAAACATAAATAATTCGAATAATCTTTGACAGAATATGACGTTTCTTAACATGGATTGGCAGTTGACGTTAAGTGGCTACTTTTCATCGAAATACCCGCCATGACCGATGGCTTAAAAGCTTTACCATGTTATATACTCCTGTAAAAGGGTTAAGTGACGTATACATGTTGTTATTATTATTAGCATTAACTTAAACCTTTTAAGTGATACATGTTTAATGCTGGAGTGCGGGAGATTGGCAGTTTTGTATTAGATCGAGACGGAAGATAGATATGTGCTAATTAGAATTAGAAATACTAATTTGGTGAGCATTGAGTTTATTACACGCTTAATATTAGCTTCACCTATATGTATGTATGTATGTATGTATGTAACCGACCCCTTCGGACTCGATTTTGACCCACTTTAAACGGACAGATTTAATTCAAACTTTGTGCACTTATAAAGAATCAGCGACAATATAATAATTTCATAGGTTTATCTCGAAACAACAATGAAATTTTTTTTAAGTCCACAAAGCAATACGATTAAATTGAGACAACACGTATTGCTGCTAGGACTAAAAAGTGGAAAATAAATATAGTTTAAAAAAACAAAAAGACACGCTTTTAAAGCACATCAAACTAAAAAGTGAAAAATAATTCCTAATTTAGGCTGAAAATGGTAATGAACAAAAAATACTGGTATTATTGTGAAAAAGCGTGGGGCGCTCTGTGCCATAGTTTTCGTCTATCGAGCAACCCACGATTTTTCACAATAATACTATTTTTTGTTCATTACCATTTTCAGCCTAAATTCTTATGAATTTTTAATGCATATTTAGTAAGCCTGAGAATCGGCTACTATCTATCTTTCAAACCCCTTAGTTTTGTCCAAACCAAAAAAAAAATGAAACAGCATACAAAAATACATACAACTCTTAATGTTCACCTATCAATGATCAGCACCTATTTTTTATTATAGCAGATAGTTATTTTTATTGAACAACAATAATGTTTCTTAGAAATGGCAAAACAACGTTTGTCGGGTCAGCTAGTTTTAATATAAATTTATGTTGACTTAAGTGTTTTCATATTAGAGAAAGAGTATCAAAAAGTATTTTGACATAATATTTTGTAAGAATATTTACAAACGTCAATTTTAAGTGTCCTAAAAAATGACATCAAAAGAGCTTTTGACAAGTGGTGTTAATGCTTTATACCATTCATTTATATAGTTGGCCTCAGATATGTGCATATGTTTTTTAGAATAAAACATAAAAAACTCCATATGTGTAATGCAGGGGTCAACGAATTTTAGAGTTGAAAATGCAATACCCACTTAACCACATATAAATTGTGGTTAATAACTTAATTTACTCTCAATTGTTATGTAAATCAACAAAACCTACTCGAAATGTACGGTGTGAAATACCCCTAAAGCACTACAGGGTTCTCCTAGTGAGTGCTGTCAGCGGCCGTCGGCGTAAATAATTTACTGCTCGATGTGAACTATCGTATTTAATAATGCCGGAATGTCGGACGCGCAATTATGTATAACTCTTGAAGGGTCATTAGGTATGCGTGTGAGTTTTGACACATACCGACACCGATACGATTTGTCTATAAAAATAAAGCGCCATCTAGTTTTCGTCAATGTAAATTGTAGGCTGAAATCAGTCGTCTGTGGAAATAGAAACAGATTAGTAACAGATGCAGAAAACGCTTACAAAAGATTAAAAGATTTTTAAACTAAAACTGTGTTATATTTTCCGATCACCGATGTTTTTGTTTCTTTTTTAAATAAACACAGTTTTAGTTTGAATTTTTTTAATTTAATTTAAGAGAGTTCATTTTGTCTTTAAATATTATTATTACGAATATACCACCGACACATAAATTGCTTATTTTTTTAAATAAATAACTTTAGAAACAAAAGAGATAACTATAATTCATCATAACATCTGAACAGATTTGGTAATTTCTTGTCTACCCTAAGAATTACAATTATCGGGAACCGATATCGTAACATAAAAGAGTCCCCTTTAGACAGCCATGCGTTTCACTTGTAATTCGAATTAGAATATAAATTCAAGCAATTGTAGTTATCTGGTTCTGGAGTGTCAAAAACAATATAAATAAAATTCCGTTCCCTTCTTTTGTGATCCCAACTGTCTCAAAATACGCACGCAGTTTTTGACGGAAAATGTAAAAACAAAATCCTTGTTTTCACGTTTTAAATAATATTACGGAATCACTTCAATCTGGAAACATAAGTCCATCTCCATGTTTGTGTTTGTTCACCTTAGTTTTGTTTATTTGGAGTAAAAAATAGTTGACACATATTTGTAGTTGCAATTTGTCGTAGACTGTCAGTTGTCACATTGACAAAGAACAAACACATATCTACGCGTTTATTAAACTCAGCGCATTTTCTTCCGCATTTGCCGTCTGTCATAAGCTGCCAGTTTACACAATGACAATTAATGGCAAACGCACAGGCACTTACAGGGCCACATACTTTTCTTGACCGTTAGAGCGTCGCTGTCATGGATGCCAGTAAATAAAAATTAACTATTATAAGGGGAATAATTTAAAGTCATGCAGGCTAAGTTAATAATTTATTGAATTGTCTTAATAAAACAATGTATATGTTACTGTAAAAGCTCGAACTGCAGTAAAACCTATCTCCAACTCCTAATGGTAAATGTCCCAAAAGGTTTGCGATTCACTCCCACGTGGTAACTAGGATTTCATTAATGCCACGGTAAATGTTGAAAACATAAATAATTATTAAGTTACACTGGCTTATGTAAGTTTTTTGTATTTCGTTGTTAAATTGCAAATAGAAACTCTGACAGTTAATATGGATAGAGTTCTTTGTGTTTTTTCAAAATAATTTAAATAAGTTGGAGTTTGTACTTTTACTATCATTTGATACCTTTATAATACTTGTGCTGTTTTGTCTAATAGTACATTAAAGTAATAATTAAGAATTCCTCATTGTTTTTTCCTAAAACCAAATCTACCATGAGGTGGTAAAACCTACTTCCGAATGGTAAAAGCTCGAAAACGTCGTATTTCAGAAATACTTACATTTACCAACTCATGTCGGTAAATCTTAAGACTTACACTTAAATCTTAAGATTAACCGTAGTTCGAACTTTTACAGTAACATATATAATAAATAAATACAGTAGAACTGTAAATAAATGTGATACCAACTTAGGAACAACTGATATGATAGGTTTTTGTTACCTGTACTATTAATATAATATCTTTTAAGATACCTAGCAGTCAGAACCGTTCGATAATTAAAACTTTGCTATTGTAATTAATAATGCAAGGAATAACAATAAATACATATTAGTTGGATTTTTATTAGATGTTGGTAGATAGTAAAATTATTTATTGTACCTACGCACCAAGAAATTACGGATAACTGACATGATGTCAGTCTGATATTTCGAAATGGCGACGGTAGTAACATTTTCAGCCGTCGGCCAAGAAAAGTATGTGGCACTGTATAATCTTTGTTCTATATTTCTTAGAAGTTATAAACGCCACATTTCAATGGAACTTTGTGCAAGCTCTGACACTTTTGGAACGTCATTACAAGACTTTCATCAAAAGAACTCGATTTTCTTAGAAAATTATCAGGTAACCCTTTGATGAAAATTGTATAAAGTATATTGAGTATCATAGCAATTTATTAACTGTGATTTTTTTATTTTATTTTGCTAGTTCTATATATGAATTGAAAACGTTTATATTTAGATAAATATTTTTACTAGTTTGAAAATTGGGTTTGGCAAATATTAGGCTAAAATCTATATTCTAATTCGTATCTCTAGTCACAATCTCGTCTTGAGCACAGAGAATGAATATGTCAAACTTCATACAGATAGACATTGACACTGACAGCTCTTGAAACCAGAAGTTTGATTGACATTAACAATTTAAAACTCACTAACTCTTTAAAAACTCAAATGAAGCAGTTTTCAAAACAAAAAGCTAAAAATAAATAGAATCTCATGAACCTTTCCTGTAAAAGAAGCAAATACGACCGCTTCGTCGATTACAAAACCTATTAAATTAAGCCGAGAACCATTATATTTCCATAAGGTATCGCTGTGTGTGTTGGCTTAATCGCTAGTTCTTCATACTTCAAGCCGCCCGTTCGGACCTCGACTATGTGATGGCGTGTCAGGCTCAGAAGACAGATTATTCATAAGGAATCCG